TGTAGACTCACTGGTGGCTACTATAAGGCCTATAATGCCAAAGGGTGCTTAGACTATTAAAACACTGATAATATAGAAGCATCACGAGTCTGATCCAAACACATGCTAACAGCTTCTGGCAAGTAAAACGTTTATGAACAGCTAAAAAATAGTGAAGAAAGCAAATGACCAGAGACCAGATGATTGCCAGGTTAGACTTGTGATTTAATGCTTATTTAAGTTGAACATTAACACGGGTAAAACAACTTTGAAAAACAGAGCCAGAGCTGACTTGATCCACGAGTCAACAGAACAAAAGAGTCTGAGCGAAAATCTAAGCCAGACCACTGAAGCTGATAATGGCTGGCAAGAAAATTGACCTTGGAGTAGGGCTTGAGGACAACAAAACTCCTTTTAAAAATAAATAATCAGACCTCTCCCTTTGCTGAATATTTCTCTGAGCTTATTTTGACCAGATGTAAAATACTCATTGTCTTGGAAGCTGGAAATCTCTCTTGTGATACAACTATAAGGGCAGGATTAATTCTGCCCTTGTGGATTCAGCTTCTGCACTCAGCTGCAGTAGCCATTGCCAGCTGGGGATGTCAGGACCAAAAATTAAAAGTGGCTGATGTTGACCTCAAAATGTATTTCCTATGGACACCGCGCTGATCCTACGCTCTGGCTTGCTGGTTACATTAACTATTTTACAAAGACAGTCATCCATCAAGGTTGCCTACTTTCCATTATTCTGGGTTAACAGTCTGTAAAATTATATGTTTCAGTTACTGGCAAACAAAGTTTCCTTTTAATCATGTCAGACACTGTCTCAGCTGGAAGATGAGCTATCAAGTGGTTGGGGGACTTGAACTCTGTACTGTTTCCTGTTTTCATCACTCACTGACTATAAGTTCCAGCAACTGCTTTCATCTGCCTGGATCTCAGGTTATTCATTTGTCACAGGGAGATAAAACTAGGTCTTTACCTTCTCTGGACTCTATGGCTGTATCCACACAAGTGCAGCCGTGTAGTATGTGGCACCGCAGACATGTCTGCGGCGCCACATACTGCGTATTCAGCTGTTCTCTGTGCTGCAAGAGGGCAGCGGAGGAAGGGCAGGTTGACCCCTGACTGTGCAAAAATAAAAGTGGAGCAGTGCATGCGGGGGCAACATGCGTTGCTCAAAACCAGAACCTGGCCAGTCAGAGCCACACTCCAGCTGCAGCCAGGCTCCACACACCTGGATTGCAACTGCTGCAGAGATCCGACACTGGGAAGCCCCCAGGACTGCAGGTAAGACTGCTGGGGCCAGCCTAGTGAGGGCCCCAGCCTCCCCTACCCTACTTGGGGTAACCTGCAGCATGCCAGAGGGCACATGGCACAGGTGTTCCCTGGGGACAACTAGCAGTGGCACAAGGTTCAATACATGTGTGGATGCAGCCTATGAGTTATTGGTCACGTCTACACAAGAAGCTTACTGCGCAGCAGCTCGTTAGCACTGTGCAGTAGTGTTGCAGGGCACAAACCATCTATAAAGTACTATGAGATTCTTGGATAAATGCAGTTCATCTTATCATTAGAGTTCACCAGTTTTAGTTTAAAATTAATTGTAACAATGATCAAAACTAGTGAATTAGAGCAGTGGCGTTAAACTCAACTGGGGCCCCAGGTTGGATCTGGACCTTGGGGCTCTTTGTGGGCAATATTAAACCTAGGGCATGAGAGCTGCTATGGTGGCTACCATGGCAGCGGCAGTGGGGGTAGTGCAGGGTCCTGCAGTGGCTGGGGACAGGGCAAGGTCCGACAGTGGTGTGGGTTGCAAGACTGCAGGATCCAGCAACGCTTAGCTGCCAATGGCCTTGCCCAACAGGGCCAAAGAGCCCAACTTCTGATGCCCTCCATTAGCCCAGATGTGCATGATAGAAAGGTTCTGCGGGCCAAATGCAGGCTATAATCTGTATGCTTGACACCTCTGGATCAGTGTATTCAGTCATCATGAGGATGATCCTCATTAATCTCTCATTCAGCTAAATAGGAAAACTGGCAGGTTGTTCAAATCTTACCCAATGCATTTTAGCTGCCCTTACTTATACAGTAGGATTAATCTCTCTGATGTACCTGTGGTGGTAGTCAAAGAAAGGGAGACAAAGCAACATCTGAGCATCAGTGAAGGAATTAGTAGCCAAAAGTGGATGCCTAAAGTTCAACACCTAAAGATGAATGGCCTAATCTTCAACAGTGCTGAGTACTTAGAAGTACCTAGTGAAGGCAATGGAAACTTCTAGGGGCTCATTGCTTTTAGGGAAAAAAAAATAATGAGCTATATATTTAGGTGCTTAAATTATTAATTTAATCTTGGAGTTGCATATGGAAATTTTGAATTTAAGCTTTTAGTTGCATATGGAAAATGCCATATGCAACTAAACTGGAGGTTCAGATCCAGGCCTCCTGATACTGCCAGTGCTGCAGTCCTCCTGGAAGTGGAAGTTTCCCTCTGCAGCACTGCAAGGAAACAGTCTCAGCAGTCTTCTGCTGGTTCAGGACTGCCCACATAAATCCCTTCTGAGATATATTGTTGCTCATAGAGTGGTTCTATCCAGGCCACCTTTATGGGGCTGTCTCCTGAGTCAGATACCTCACTGCCAAGTACCCATGTGCCAGAGCCACTGTATTGTGGCCCTTTGTACTTACATAGTACTTTCTATCAGAGGAGCTGTCAGCTTTTTTTACACCCAGCTTGAGAGCAGTAGGCATTTCATGATGCCCACCTTGTAGGTGAAGCTAGTTGGGGAAGTTGAGAAACTTGTCCAGTGTCCAACAGGGAGCCAGTCTGACAAATCCAGGCATGGACTCCAAGATGCTTGACAATGACTCCCCTGCCTGAATCAGAAGAGCACAGTGCCTCGCAAGCATAAACTAAATTCTTCTCATCCCATACAAGCACACCTTAATCAGCAGCAGATTCACCAACCCCCCACAGATAGGCACAGTGAATGAGGAAAATTCTCTTCCCCAAAGTTGCAGAGAAGGGAGAAGATCCTGGAATATTTGTTAAGCTACTGCACCAAAGCCTTGTTTACATTCCAGCTGACAGCTTTCTAGAGCTCATCGCTTCCTTTGTTTACACGCTACAGCCGTTTTATATCCCATATAATTGACTCGATTGCTAATAACCCATGGTAGAACATCAGCTAGGCTAGCCGGTATTGCTTAGGCATCGAAACTGTCATGCTGTTGACAGTAGACCCAAAAGGAAGCAAAATGAACCTGGCATAAAAGAACCTCTTAGCCAAATGCATCCAGGCAAGGATTGATTTAATGTTTTAAATTAATTTCTCCATTCATATTTTATGGGAATAAATCCAACACTGCAATAGGGCTGCTTAAAATGTGTTGTAACCCTCAAAAGCTTGTGGTTATATTTAGTCAGATCTTTGGGTGGACCCTATCATGTAGGAGTACTCAACTGTGTCTGGGTTTACTGTAGTTAATTCCTAGGATTTTGATTATGCTCTTAGCTCAAATTGAAATATTACCCAAGGAAAATGCCATATGCAAGTTAAGAAAACTGCTCTGGAAGTGATTTATTGAAACATTGTTTTATGTGTATTTAACAGAACTATTCACCATTTTCCAAAATAGAGTATGGAGGGCCAAAAAACCTAATTACTTTTAAGATAGAGTTCAATAAGCTTACAAAAAGGATTTCATGACATGATGCCATGATAACAGCAGACGGGACTGTGTCCAGATTATAATCCTTTCCAATCCCATAATCAGTTCAATATGGTTATAGTTATGATTTGAATTATGTCAACAACAGAAAGCAAGTCAGTCAATAAAAGCTTCTTTTAAGATACTGTGGGGTTTTTTACTGTGCTGTGTTAAATCAAAACCAAGTTAAAGGGCATACTACAAACTGAGCACATCTACAAGTGCACTTTAATGCGCATTAGCCTATTTTAATGTGAATTAAAGCATCACAAAAAACATGCTCTTTTCTAACGCATATTAAAATAGGCTAATGCACATTTTCCCAGTACCTCCCAATGGAGGTACTAGATTTAATATGCATTACCTAAATAAACATGTAGATGTGCCCACTGAATGCTAGGGGCAGCATTCAGACAAAGATAAAGGAAGCTCTTCTTTGTCCAGGTAAAAAAATCCCAGTGCAGACAGCCAGCATGAGACCTGGCTACACTCAGACCCAATGCTCAAGGCTTATATATTGCATCCATTTTGTGTTGGGCCTCAGTGCTGAGCTGAGTTTCATTCATGGGGTATGTTAAAAGACATAAATCTGTTGAACATAGACAATGTGTGGGCCCAGTTTTGCCTTTTTTGCACACTCCAAGCTCCAGCTGACTTTGGTGGGAGCTTGGATTATTCAGGTTTAATAGGGCCACCTTGCTTCACATTACAAAGAGAGAGAGATGGATATTTGGCCCTATTAGTCTGAAGCAAGGCAGAAGGCAGGGTGGGGTAACACCTTAGGGACTAATAGGTTCAGAAAAATTTAAGCTTTCATGGACAATAGCCTACTTCATAAGATGCTTTGAAAGAAGAGGGAAGAGAAAAGAGGGAAGGGCTGGCTAAGAGGGACAGTTCAGACTGGGAGGCCCCACCCTGGCAGGGATATAAGAAAGGAAGACAGGAGTAAAAGGCAGAGGGCTCTGGTAATGAAAGAGAAAGGAGTTCCTGTTATAGAATCCTAGAAAATGAGGGTGGGAAGGGACCTCAGGAGGTCATCTAGTGCAACTCCCGGCTCAAAGCAGGACCAGCCCCAACTACAGGATCCCAGCCAAGACTTTGTCTAGCCCAGTCTTAAAAACCTCCAAAGATGGAGAGTCCACCACCTCTCTGGGTAACCTGTTCTACTGTTTTACTATTCTCCTCATGAGAAAGTTTTTCCTAATATCTAACCTGAACTTTCCTTGCTGCAACTTGAGACCATTGCTCCTTGTTCTGTCATTTGCCACCACTGAGAACAGCCTAACTCAGGGATGGGCAAAATATTGCACGTGGACCAGATCCAGCCTGCCAAGGGATTTTATCCAGCCTGTGGTGGGTCCCTCAGACCCACCTGGCCCAGATGCGGAGGGGCAGCCCAGGCTGTGGGGCAGGGACACTGCAGTGGCTGGACTCCATTTCTCAGATGCCCCGGTGGCAGCAGCTCCTTCTGGCTGCTGATGCCTGTGTTGCTGCTGCTGCCAGCCCCAGCCCCACTGCCTGGGCAGCCTGCGCCATCTGTCTCACACCCACCACCAGTGACACGAGATGGAGTGGGCAGGTGAGGTCCATGGAAGAGGTGGACATGAGATCCCCATGAGTAGGGCATGCTCGGCTGGGTAGATGGGCAGCAAGCAACACGTCGGAATGAGACATGTGGTCAGGGCCAGGGCTGGGGCTGGGGCTGGAGCCAGGGCCAGGATCATGGACGGTGACAGTGCAGGGCCAGGGCCCAGGGCAGAGCCATGATCTGCTGCTTTTAACCACAAAGTTAAATGAAGTAGGTCTGGAAAAAATAGGCCAGCAGAAGGAATGTAAGCAAAGGCCTGCTTTGGGATACACCCAGATAAGACTGAGTCAGCCTAAGGGTCAGGATTTGGATTAACCAGGCTATCTAGCAAAAACATTCTTTGATTAAGACTTTGTAGATGATGCTGAGTCACCCTATGGGAATGACAGCTCAAGAGGTCCAACAACAGACCAGACAGACATCATGAGGCACAGAGTGGCTGTAAAGGGGAGGGAGGAGGCTGCATTTTCAAGAAGATCTTGCAGAGCCTCATCCATTAGATTTATTTCAGCCTAAGGGTCAGGCAACCTAACCACAGAATGAGCTACAAGGGAATGGCCAGCGAGGTGGGCAAAGCAGATGAGAAAAGCTTGGACTAAGTGAGGAGAATTCACCTCATCTTAAGAAAGGTACTGGAGCTGCTCAAGGGAGGAATACAAGATATGACTCAAAGTTTCACTTCAAGCTTCAGTAAAGAAATATGAATCTGTCCTCAATGGAACATCATAACAAAACAAAAACAGACATCCCCCCACAAACGCAAAAAACTCCCCAAGCAGTTAAAGCACAGTACAAACCAGCCCAACATTTTCCAATCCTGCAGATTTCCCAAACAATCCTCAGTGCCAGTGACTCCAGCCCTTTCCCAATGCATGCTAAGTAAGTGGGGCTTGGCTGCAGAGTTGGGCTCTCTCTGGCCCAAAAAGGGAGCATAATCCAAAATTGAGGCAAGTGCCCTGCCAGCAGCTGATGAGTGAAGTTCTCCCTGCACTTGTAGACCTTCCAGCAGCAATGCAGAGTCTAGCAGTCTTCTCTTCTAATACTGCTCGAATTCTGTTGCCATAAAGAGGGTGGTTTGAATCAAATCCATTTTTATCTGCAAAGTAAACAGACATTTCCTTACAACCGGAGGGATTTACATCAGCAACCAAGTGGAAGGATTTGGATTAACCAGCCTATCTATCAAAAACATTCTTTGATTAAGACTTTGTAGATGATGTTGGGGAGGCAAAAAACGCATCTTTGCTACCAGTGCCATAGCAACAAAATTTGGCGCCTGGGGCAAAGCCCACAGCAGCAGGCCGCCTTCGCCCCACGCACAGATCTGGGGGGCACCCCTCACTGTGCTTGCCCAGGAGTGCACACAATGGCAGGAGCCACCCTCCCCCTGTCCCCACGACCCCACAAACAAGGCACTTGCAGCTCCATCCCGCATCCCGCTGGGCAGTGCCTGTTGGCGTCCCTTCGCTTCAGAGCCCAGGGCAGTCCCCCCACTCACCCTCCTCCCCGTGCTGCAGCACTGTTTGCTAGCCCTCACAGCCCTGGTAAAAAATCATTATGAGGCAAACCATCAGCTTTGGGATGGTATTTCCGTGCCAGTAATTGGTGTTCTGTCTCCCTTCGCCAGCTGTAGGTCATTGATGAGGCAAATAAAGGCAAAAAAAAAAAAGTCTTATAAAATCGTACCAAGCCATGGTTTGTCAACAATAAAATTGTCAAATAAAGATATGCCTAGTTGATTTTGACAGAAATGGACGTAATACATTGGAGAGAGAATTCATAAACAGCTTACAGAGCTACTCTGTATGTTATACCGAGCTTTGCCATGTCACTGTCAGGGACATGGCTGATTTATGCACATAACTTTTCACAAAGTATGGGCATTAACATTTTTAGGGAACTGCATATCACAGAAACTTATAGGGCCAAATCAAGCTTTTGGCATAAAAAGGACCTTGGGACTCTTACACCTACATTTAGAGAGATGCTGACCCTTTGGATGAAGATGGACAAGGAGGAAACTGGCTAATTTGGAGAGACTTCTTTTGGAGGAAAGCCTGAAGGCAAAAATGGAAGATGTGGACATAGTCCAACCTCATATAGATATGAGGCAGGTATGCAAAAACCTAGACCTTGTTTTTCTAGAGTACAGATATTAAAGATTAGATTAGGCACTAAACTGCCTTTGCCAAAATCAAATATTTAAGTGGTATTCACATCCCCAACGTCTTCTCTAAGTTTCCGCCTAAATCTGTAAGCCCCTAAATCCACTAGGCACCTCTGTTTCTGCTGGTGGGCCTACCAAAAGCCTCATAAGCCCTGACATTGTACTACTGCTTGGAGCAGTTGCCAAAGCCAAAGCAGACTGGCTTGCAGGATTCTCTGTCTACACATTTTTTATCTCCCCAGTGGGACACAACCTGACAAGTTGTCGCACCAGGACATGAGCAACCAGGTCTGAAGCCATTTGGGGATTGAGGTGTCAACTGGGGCCAGGATGAGTGAGCAGAGTCTGAGGACAAATCAGGTCAGGAAGTCATGAGCTCAATCCAAGAGTGGGGTCTAGTAGTGAGCCGAATCAATGAACCAGGGCTCAGGCAGAGAGCGGAGCCAAGAAGCAAGCTGGGTCAAGAAGTCAGGAGATCATCCATGGAACAAAGTAAAGGAACAAGCCAGAGAGCATCACAAATCCACCTCAGATCAGGTTGAGACCTGTTGTTCAGACACTTCCTGTGCCTGTCAAGGGATTTATATGGGGGATTTGGAGGCTTTGGTGACCTGGGTTGGCCTGTCTGGTGATAGGGAGTGGGTGGAGGGCTAGGCCCTGCTGGAGGCTTCAGAGCAGCCTGGATCAGTCTGAGCAATCATGTTGGCCAGGCTAAGATCCCTGGTTTGAGGCTGTGGCCTGACACAAGTATGTTCAGATTGGGTCTTCACAAAAGACAGCCAGAAATTGGAAAGCTGGGAATTTGTTGGGTTCTTATGCTGGTATGTCCCTATGATAACCAACTGGTAAGGGCACCGGTTATGGAGGCGATATACATTCTAACCCTTGTTTTGCCTGATTTAGATCAGGGACTTGAACCCAAGCCCCCCAAATCCCCAGTGAGGGGTCTAACCAGTTGTACATTCTGAAGTCTCACTTTCAAGCCCTCTTGATGAATGTTTCCCTCGGTATAAATAGATCAATTCTTACCAGAGCAGAGATTTGCTCTTAATCTCCCATATCAGCACCCTAACCATTGGCCAACAGACTCTTTTTCTCTCGCTGGCCTAATAAAAATTGGATTTATACCCAGTGGAACAGCTCCAACCTGAGAGATTGAGAAAGTCCCACTTCAGATTATCCAATTGCTCAGTTACTCAAACTTTATCTAAGTTACGGGAACCCAAGGATCATGTCTCTAATCCATGCATGGCTTTAAACATAGATCCCCTATATCCAAGGTGAGTACCTGACTACCAGGCTATTGACTATCATGAAGTGGGATCCTTCATGCTCTTTTTGAAGGATTTGGCTTAAGTCTCACTCTTTTCCCTTCCACTGCTGACTATTTTAAGCATAAGCAGTTCCCCGCTCAATACGGTGGCTTCTGTGAATCTTTTGGCATTTAAGTCTCCCCATAGAATGCATAGGGAACCTGGGTGCCTAACTACAACACCATCAAAGTACTTTTGTGAGTCTAAATTCAAGCTACAATCTATCTGGAGCCAGGTTTACCTGACGATTCCTTCTCCTCTGGCTTTCTTTTAGCCTATATGGATGTTCAGGCACTTTGAGGAGTCTCCACATACCTAATCCTTGATGAAAGTGCAGTTGAGCCAAACCGTTAATTCAATAACTGTTGACAGGTGTTGGTGCTTACCCATTTCAGGTTATTAGATTGGTGCATATGGCATGATACTCTAGTGCTATTAAAGCCAAAATTCAGCCATCTGAATCCCAAGCACACTCATATGCGCTTCTCCAAGAACAGGAAGAAATTATCTGTGATGTCTCTGTTGGCCTTTATAACATAAATATGAAAATATTTGCAGTTAAGTAGTAGCTGACAAGTCCAAACAGTATTGAGTAACTTTGCCTGAGCAGAAAAGTATCCACAAAATTAGTGGGATTTAATGGTGGTGTCTGAGAGGACATGGGAATAAATCAGCAAGCCAAAAAAGGCATAAGTAAATATTTAACTGAACACTCAAAACACTTTCCTTTTAGGTAAATTGCTCTGCAGATCTGAGTTCATTCCTGGGTGAAGGGGTCAAAAGCCAGTTGAGTGGCCATCACTGAAACAATTTTAGAAGCAAGTACTGTCACTTTAGGGTAATAATTAACTTTGAGTAAAACATCCACAATTTGAAAAAGACTTGAACTAAAAGAAATAATGATCTTGGAAGTAATGTTCTGCCATAGGCACCTATCAAAGAGACGGGTGTTTTATTCCTTTGTGTCATCTGCAAGATTCACCTCCAATTCTGGTTCCTGCAGCCCTAACCCCCTGGTAGACCTCATAGTAGGTGTCCCCCAAAATAAGTGTGTGGAGATAGGTACATTATGGTGTAAGGTCTATGAGCAGTGAGCCATGTACATGTCCAAATTCTGTTACTGTTGAACTCAAAAGGAACTTGGCCATTTCCCCACCCCATTTAGCACGTAATAGATGCAGGCCCTTTTTCTGACAGTGTCATAGTTTCATAGTTGGTAGGGTCAGAAGGGACCTAAGCAGATCATCTAGTCCAACACCCTGCCATGAGCAGAAAAGGATGCTGGGGTTAAATGACCCCAGCTAGGTGACTGTCTAGCCTCTTTTTGAAGACCCCAAGGGTAGGGGCGAGCAACCCTTGTAAGTTGGTTCCAGCTCCTAGCCACCCTGACTGTGAAGTAGTGCCTCCTGATATCTAGCCTGAATCTACTGTCAATCAACTTATGGCTGTTGTTCCTTGTTCCCCCCGGTAGTGCTCGGGGGAGCAGGGACTCTCCCATTGCCTGCTGGTCTCCCTTGGCCAGTTTATAGGCGGCCACCAGATCCCCCCTCTCAGCCTTCTCTTGTGGAGGCTGAACAGGTTCAGGTCCCATAGCCTCCTCATCGGGCCTGCCCTGCTGCCCCCGATCATGTGGGTGGCCCTCCTCTGGACCCTTTTGGTGCTGTCCACATCCCTCCTGAAGTGCGACACCCAGAACTGGATGCAGTACTCCAACTGCAGCCTGACCAATGTCTCATAGAGGGGGAGGATCACCTCCTTGGACCTGCTTGTGATGCATCTATGGATGCATGACAAAGTGCAGTTAGCCTTCCTGACCGCGTCCCCACACTGTCGGCCCATATTCATCTTGGAATAAATAATGACTCCAAGCTCCTTTTCTGCCTCTGCACTGATGAGAAGGGAGTTCCCCAGCCTGTAGGTGTGCTGCTGGTTCTTCCTCCCCAGGTGCAGCACTTTGCACTTGTCCTTATTGAAACCCATCCTATTCTCATCCGCCCACCTCTGTAACCCATCGAGATCTAGTTGTAGCCTGTCCCTCTCTTCTAGCGTGCCCACTTCTCCCCACATCTTAGTGTAATCTGTGAACTTGAACAAGGTGCTTTTCACCCCCTTGTCCAAATTGCTAATGAAGATACTGAACAGCGCGGGCCCAAGATCTGAGCCCTGGGGGACCCCACTGTCCACATCCCTGCAGGTCAAAAATGACCCGTATACCACCACTCTCAGGGTGCAGCCCTCTAGCCAATTTGTGACCCATCTGACTGTGAAGGCATCGACACCACAGATGCCTAATTTTTTAATGAGGATGGGGTGAGAGACAGTATTGAAGGCCTTCCTAAAGTCCAGAAAGACTACGTCCACTGCAACACCTACATCCAAGGCTTTTGTTACCTGGTCGTAGAAGGCAACCAGGTTGGTCTGACAGGACCTGCCTCTAATGAACCCATGTTGATTGCCCCTAAGCATGAACTCCCTTGCTGGCCCCTCGCAGATGTGCTCCTGGATAATTTTCTCAAAGAGCTTCCCCAGGACTGAGGTAAGATTAATGGGCCTATAATTTCCTGGGTCCTCTTTCCTCCCTTTTTTGAAAATGGGGACCACATTGGCCCTTTTCCA